TTCACTCCTTTCCTCGTGTGGAGCCACAGCGGCCTGGAGCAAGCGGATCCAGGCTATTCCCCGTGAGGAAGGACGTAGTTTTAGGGTCACTGAATATTTGAGTTGCAGCGATCATTTCGATCCCGAAATCGTTTTGCCCAGCTCTACAAGGGCAGGATGAGTCCAGGAAACCAAACAGCTGTCCTACGGTACCAGGTTTGCTTTTCGCAAGAGAGTGGAGTCTGGACGCTCTGCTCCCTCTGCTCGCAAAACAGTATTTGCTGAGCCTAGTGCAGTTCGGTCATGGAAGTGCAGCGTCTGCATCACGAGCTCCCCATGCTCGCAAACCAGTATTTTGCTGAGAGGCAACGGCACTTTGAGTCGAAAAGGAACCTGGCTTGTAGTTTGGTCCTGTAATGGAAGTGCAGCATCTGCATCAGGAGTTGGCAGCAAGTAGAGCTCGTGTACAGAGTCTCGTGGAGCAGTTGGACGATGTGAGGACTGGGGTGAAGAAAGCCGAAAAACAGCTTACGTACAATAACATAAAGAAAGACTCTGAGCCGCTCCAGTTTCTTACTGGTTTGCCTTCAGGTGTTTGGACCGCTCTGTGGGACTTCTTTGACCCTAGCCGAGAAAATATACTGCGCCGCGCCAGATCTGCGAAGACGGAAGCTGAGGGACGGCGGATACAGTTGGAGGTGGCCGTAAATCGCCAATGAGCATGTAATGGAGGATCAGCTGCTATTGGCATTGATATGTCTAAGCCTGGGCCGAATGGAACAGAAAATGTCATGCGTGGCACAAGTTAATCATCCGTTTCACGGTATAATAGCTAGCTGAGCTGAAAAGATGTCTTGTTCCTCCGTTTGGGCATAATCCCCATTTGAGCGAGCTGGCGAGATTTTCAGTCATCAATGCCATGTGCCGCAAGACATTCTGCATTGTGGATGAAACAGTTATATTTTGCCATGCACTTAGGGTTCTCGCACCGGCACGGCACGACAAGACCCAACAGATCCTTGCGCTCTTATTTTCTCCCATGGTAACATTGCCGGTCACAACACCCCGTAGCCAGTCGCAGATGCAACCAAATCAACCAGGTTCTTTTTTTCCAATACTGAAGCCAAAGGTATACCAATATTTGCATCGAATGCAGTGATGATTTCAATACTGTCCACTAGTACAACGCATTACCAGACAGGCATATAATCATGATAATATTATGCATTTCGCAATCACTGTCATTGCTTTCTTAGATCTCCAATCATCAATATCGGACCATAAACCGTCTACTAGTATCATCTAATATTATTCATCATTGGTAGCCTGCTACTATCCTCCTCTAACGATGAGCTTGAAGAAACGAAACAGCTGTCTAGAGGCGTAAATAATATCTGTCAACGGAAGTATCCTTGCTGTGCTGGTGTGTTTATGCTTCGTGCATTAGTTCGGCCAAGAGCGCATGGTGGTGGCAGGTTGAGGATGTAGTACAGCGGAGTATGACCGAAAGCTCTGTCACGATGTATTATATTAGGAAGGTATAGAAACGGGAAAAAACTGTATCTTCATCTTGGGCGTAAACAGCCCGTCTCACATTAAATATACTAGAAAATAGTTCACTCTGAACATGCAGTCTTCCTACTTGAGAGGGGGGGGGGGTATATTCATAGGTTCGAAAGAACCGCACACACACTTTGCTGCAGACAGCGGCAAGCTTTGGCCCTCGTGCTTCGAAGAGGGAGCAATCCACTGCGCTACGCTTGCGATTAACAGCAAGCTTCAACTTTTCAAAGGTACGACTCATCGCTGGCTCTGGGGTAATGTTCCTGGAACAAATGCCCCATTGCCGACTGAGGGCCAGGAAGCACGCAATCTGCCTTCCTGGGCGAGAAGTGTTTCAGCACAAGAAGCAGCACGAATACATGCTGACAAAGACCACCATCACCGCCAGCCGGCACACAGCACACTGTTCTTCAAACACCATCCACTCCGTCCATGTGTTTGCGCTTGCACTGTCCTCCTCTAGCTCTTCACGCTCAACAAACACCACGCACTGCCCATCGTTTTTTTAATGCTTCCTCTGGGTTGGCTAGCCCTTCGACTTGACAACACAGCGATTACCACTGCACTGTCTGCTATCGTCACCTCATAGCAGTCGCTTCCACCAGTGGCTTTTCCTGTCCTTGCAAGGTGTCCAAGGATGGCTGCTGTTGTCATTACAGGCAAATCAGAAGTACTTTAGTGGCTGATGTCCAACCAGATCGTTGGAAAATCGATTTTTCCACTTCACTGAGGGCTGCTGATCGCGATCGCGACTTGGTGACTTGGCAGCACCACGGTTACCTTCATAGAAGATGGCTCTGGAGAGGAAAAGGCAGACCAGAAAAAGGTTACTATTGTCTTCAGCACCGATCTCAAGGAGAAGGAAATACGGTCTGCTAAAGCCTAGGCACAAAATAAATCTCAAAACACGATTCGAATATTTCAATAACAAAAAAACTCACCTCTGGAGTAACTCCTGTTTGTGGCCCGAGATCGTTCCCTCCCGCGCCTTGAAAAAATCCTACAGCTGCATCACAGTCCATGTCTCTCTCGGAGACTCTGCTCCTACCAGCAGGAGGTTCAGCACCGCTCGAAGCCATCGCAAACTACTAGAAGACATTCCAAAACAAACCTGAAACACACTGTCAAAGATACTGTCACGTTCAAAAACTAGCTCGATCGCGAGTGAGGTTGCCCCCGTGCTCGAACCCAGTATAATAAGGGGATCGGTCTATTCATTATTGTATGCTCGGACTCGTCTTCTTCAAAGTTCATTCTCACATTGATACAGATGCAAGTGAACCAGCCTTTATCAGGCATTACGAAGCGGAAGAGATAGTCAGGACCCTGGATTTTAGCAGCCATGAGTGTGCAGGCTATGGATATTGAAATTTTTTGAAGTATAGTTGATGTTCGGTCATGATGCAAGGAGAGGTGGAGCTACGGGAGAGATGAGCTGATTACTCACAGGTTGAGAGTGATATCGGTTGGACGAGTATGACAATTACGAAGACAGATGAACATGATAATTTTCAAAGGTAACTCCAACTAATTTGGCAATGAAATTTTTTTACAAAAGAAGTCAACTGATGAATAGAAGAAGTAATGTTTTCTCTTTTCCATTCCATGTTGATCTCTAGCATGCATGGACACCTTGGTAAGGGGATACTCATATACTTTGTTGTACTTATGGCTACTTGCAAGTACGAAAAAGGCACAATTTACCGAACTTTGAGGCTCCATAAGTACAACAAAGTGAATATGTATCCCCGCGTGCCAAAGCATAATATGAGGATTTTGGGGGCATAATGCGAGAATCCATGAAAGCATAATTCCATGATTTCACGAGCATAATCCGCCGGAGCCTAACACGCGCGCACACACACACACATACACACAAATACACACGCACACACACATACACGTACACACATGCACACACCTTCCTTCCTTCCTTCTTCCACTGCCATGACTGGCTATGTGGCCCCATACGGGGCAGACCAGGAGACGTGTTGTCCACCGGGCGGGGAACGCCATACTCAGCGCGCGCGGGCCGCGCGAACAGCGTTATACTTGTGCCTTGCAATATCCTGCGGCCGACGGAAACTGCGCGCACAAGTGCCACAGATGAGGTGCTTCGTCACAGGCTCCATGCGGGACTGGACAATAGCGTCGACAGCATCACGGCAGGTGACCCGCCATCCCTGTCGATCTTGGACGATGTCACCAAGCTGCTCCAGAGGAACGCCAACAGCCATCAAGTCGCACTTTGCGGAGTCCTTCCAGCGCTTACGGGGCCCATGCGGTGGACGTTTGGAGGGTAATGCGCCGCACAGCAGCTGACGAGGGATCCGATCTGGCATGCGGGACACGTGGCCAAGCCATCGAAGTCGGCGGACTCTGACTTTATCCGCGATCTCCTCCATATCGCCCCACATCCTGCGAACCTGGAGAGAGGAGATATGCTCCTCGATCTGCCGGCCACAATTTATCTTCAGGATGGAACGCACGCACTGCAGGTGAAAGGACTCGAGGCGACGGACATCACACTGCCTGACGGTCCAACTCTCAGATCCATAAAGAAGGACCGCCAGGACAGTCACTCCATACACGATGCGCTTGATGGCGATGCTGAAGTCATCACTGGCGAAAACCGACTCCCGCAGTGTACAGAACGCACCCGATGCAGCAGCAACTCGCCGAGACACATCAAATGAGCTCCGGGCGTCTGGCGTAACATGACAACCGAGATAGCGAAAGGCCTCAACGTGGTCAACAACACCATCCAAAGGGGTCTGGTCGGCATCCACAATACCAGCCCCAGCCGCCATGAATTTGGTCTTGGACATATTGACACTAAGGCCAAACGCACCAGCTACATCCCTGAACGAGGATAGAGCCCTCTCAGCACCAGCATGCGTAACTGCGAGCAAGGCTGAATCATCCGCAAACTGACACTCCGTCAGCCGAACTCTGCGATACTCTGCCAATCTGGTGTTGAAAAGCCGCTCCCTCCGAAACTGGACGAGTGGGATCTCCAGCTCACCATCATCAGCAATCACGCCACGCCATCTCTCGAAGACTGCACACATGCATAGGTTAAACAAAACTGGGGCCATAGTGCAACCCTGCCGCAAGCCATTCTCAACCCGAATCGGTGCAAGCAGGTCTCCACCCACACGAATACTGGCAGTCATGTCGCTATGGAAGGAACTGATGATGGTGATCAGACTCCCTGGGACGCCAAGTCTAGCCAACACTCTCCACATAGCACTCCGCGGAACCGAGTCGTACGCTTTCTTCAGATCGATAAATACAGCGAAACCTTTCGTGGCATGTTCGTGCAACTTTTCCAGGATCTGCCGCACAGCAAACACCATATCCGAACAACCACGGCCCCTGCGGAAACCACACTGCGAGTCAGGCAAGCACCTTTCTCCGAGAACCTGCAGACGATTGGCAATCATGCGAGCAACTAGCTATCCAGCCACATCCAGTAACGATATCCCACGCCAGTTGTCGCAAGATCCCAGGTCACCCTTCTTGGGGATGGGGACGAGGATAGCATCAGACCAATCCTGCGGAACGCTGCCAGTCTCCCACACCACCCGTATCAGTTCATGCAACCTCGCAATCAGGGTAGGGCCACCGTACTTCAGCATCTCCACAGATATCTCGGATCCGCCGCATGCCTTGCCACACTTCATCCCTCGCAATGCACGCCAAATCTCATCACACTCAGGCACGACACCAAGCTCCGTCATAACCGGCCGCTGCTCGATCGAATCTACTACCTCCAAGTCGTAAGCACTGGCAATGTTCAGGAGGCCATCGAAATGTTCACGCCACCTTCCACCGGTGGCCTCTGCCGTGTCACAGATCTCTCCTTGCTTGTTTCTGATAGCAGTTGCTGCACGGGGACGCATACCACCCAAGGTGGTCTTAATGTTACCGATACACTCCCAACCGCTCTTCGCCGTCAAGCCAAACCATTCACAATCCTTTGCCTGTCTCAGCAGCCAGTCTCGCTTCAGCCTCCGCATGGTGCACCGCGCCGCACTACGAGATTTCTTGTACAAATCCAGATCACTGGCCTTCCGCGTTGACATCCAGGTTGAGTAACAACTGTCCCGATCACGGAGTACCGACTCGATCTCAGTGCGCTTGTCTGTAAACCATTCTGGCTGTCGGCGCCTCTCCCGACCCAGGCAGTCGCTGGCAACGTTGATGGTGGTCGTCCTGAGGGTACTCCACCACTCCTCGATGGACGGATTCGGGGTCCAAACCTTCTCCAGCTCAGCATCCATGCCCTTGGAGAATCTCTCACGCGCAACCTCCATATCCTCCGGAGCACCACTACGCAGGCGCGACACAGCAATGGGTTTCGATCGCCCAACACCATTGCGGGAGACATGTGAACTGGGCAAGGCACCTAGACGATATTTCATGCCTAGAAACTTATGGTCAGTGTCGCATTCCGCATTACGTATTACTTGGCAGTCCAAACACTGCGACCGATGTGCTTGTGGTATGATGCAATAATCAATGCAGTGCGGGTGCTTGTAGCGTGGATGAAACCAGGTATGTTTATGGATTTCCTTCTTCTTGAATAATGTGTTGCATACAACAGCTCCATTTCGTGCCAAGAAATTGAGCAGCTCCTCTCCTGCTGAGTTCATACGACCAAAACCATGCTGCCCCCGCACGTCACTCCACTCATCATCCACCTCGCCAACTCCAACTCTAGCATTGAAGTCACCAAGAATGCAATACTGGTCTGACTTTGGAACGCTGTCAATGAAGGTCTGCAAGCTGTTATAAAACGCAGTTTTTTCAGCGCGCGGTCTGGCGAACGTCGGTGCATATCCGACGGCGATTTGAATACACAACGGCGAACGGTTCCGTCCACACTCGAACTTGACCCTGGCGGAAACCAATCTCGAGCTGTGCCCCTTCCACTGCGAGCCACCGCGAACAAATGCGTCCCTGCAACGACCGCGCAATACAACTGCAACTCCTTCACCCCGCCGCGCCGACTCCCCATCAGACGGAGTCGGACGGCCACTCGCCAAGACGAGACAGTCGTCGACTTGGTAGGAATTAGTTCCAAACCAGAGGGTCTCCTGAAGTCCAACGACGTCCATACTGTAGCGCTGCAGCTGCCGGCAAACAAGATCGATTTTTCTCTCTTCGCGGAGTTGTCTTTTTGAATTTTTGATATTTTTTGAGGCAGTGTTCAAATCGCCGTCCACGTTCACCAAAGTTCTGACGTTCCACGTCCCCATGGACAACACAAATCTCCTTGCTGCTGGTGCACGTTGCGAGCCGAACTCTAAGCGGGGGTTTGCAGAGCCTCCGCGCTCAGGCGGACGAGGTTCAGTACGAGTGGTCACATCGGAAGTGACCATGGTGTCGACACTGATTTATTTCCTCGCCCGCGACGACAAGATGTACGTCGTCTTGTTCAGCGCAACCTATCTAATGCTCCTGTCACCAGGGCTGGCTCTGGCCTTGGCCAGAAGCCAGCCCGTGGCTGAAATCTACTTGCAGAAGACGGAGGAAAAAAATCCCCAACCGTCACTCAACTCAACAACTCAGAACAGTTCTGAGTTGTTGATGCACACACACACACACACACACACACACACACACACACACAGACACACACACACACACACGCGCGAGCGCGCGCGCACCCACACACACACACATGCACACACACACACATATACACACACACACACCACACACACACACACAAACACACACACACACACACACACACACACACACACACACACACCATTGGACCATTGGACGCCCATCGCCGGAGGCGAGGATAGCGATGCTACAGCAGAAGCCATAGCAACTTGAGCACCATTCAACAGCTTACACAAACACACACACACACACACACACACACACAATAATGTCATGTACTAGTAGGCAGTAGTTGGGGTCACTCCTCATGGCTGGATAGCGCGTGTACATGCAAACATGATTGAAGACTTGCAAAATAATTTTAATTTATTATTTTGTAAAAATGTTATTTTACAAGTCCAGGCGCTAGGCCTAGGCGCTAGGCCTAGTATCTAGTAGCTAGGCCTAGTATCTAGGCGAGCTGTCATTGACTCTGTACTCAGTAGTGCCTAATGGCAGCTGACCATATTTTCGGAGAAAAACTACTGGAGTGTCAAATTGTAGTAAAAAGTAACAATGAGTGGCGATAGCATCTAGGAAGGATCGCTACCCTTACGTGAAGGAAAGGCCTTGCGCGGCTGCTCTACGAAGTGTTGAAGAAAGACTCAAAGTTACAAGTAGTTGCTGGACGAACAAGTCGCTGTTGCCGGAAAACTGTCACTTGGCCTCCAACGATTGTGTTTGCCCTGTTTGGTGTTTGGTGAATCATCAAGTATAGTGTCTTGTAGCCCCTGCTGTTGTCCGTTTCATCCACGTTGGGTGTTAGCTGCACCGCCACTATTGTGTTGTAGTATTCCATGGACACACATTAGCATTCTGAGCGATTGTGGTGCAACAATAATTATTTACTTCACACAGCGTTGTACTGTCCACGAGCGCAAACTTCATTATCAGCAGTAACTGTTACTCTTCATCCTACATGTAGACTTGGAGTATACACGGCCTTGTCACGACAGCGACAGCTCTACAGAGTGTTCAAGTGAGAAACATTTTAAATTTCAATTGTTGGTGGACGAAGCTTCCTCGTACTCGTGGAGTTGAATTTGTGGCGGAAATTGCACTGAAATTGCAGTCAAATGGTTGTGAATGAAACGAGATTTGTGGAAATGAAGCCACTTCCCGTGTTAGCCGCAGGTGATGGGCGAAAGTTCTTCTGGAGATCCGCTGAGCTTCCTCGTACTCGTGGAGTTGAATTTGTGGCAGAAATTGCACTAAGATTGCAGTCAAGTGGACTTCTGTGCATGTGTTGTGAGTGAGCCGCAACGGCTCCCTTCCTTCATCATCGTCAAAACGCAACATACATATAGAGCATTATTACGCACTCGTTCCATGATTCATGATACTGCCCGGATTCTTTTAAAACCAATCACTGTGTGTTCCCTATCTATCTGTATCTACATTGTACATGGTTGCAGCTCGTTATTTATAAATCTTGATAATTTCGACACTTTTCTACTCGTATACTGAGACTTTAGCTACAGTCAACTTCGCTAATAACGACTGCGGATATAACGACAATTCGCTAATAACGACAGAATTTCCATGCCCAGAGCAAAGTCCCATACCACTGTAATACATGTAATGAGACTTCGGGTATAACGACACTTCGCGAATAAGGACACTTTTCTGATGCCCGCCGGGTGTCGTTATAAGCGAAGTTGACTGTAGTTTAGAAAACGGATGGCTCAGCCTCCAGATTGGCCAGAAACGTTCTCTGTGAATCTAGCTAACCGAAGTCTCGGCGAGTGTACAAAAGGTAAACCTATCATTTGTACTTCATAACGGAATTGTGCACAAAAACGTGCACGCACACACACACACACACACACACACACACACACACACACACACACACACAAACACAGTACAAATACACACAAAAGTACAACCACATGTGCGCATACACCCCCCCCCCCCCCCACACACACACACTCAACTCCCCACCCTCTGTACTGAGACTGACAGACGGACACACAATCATGTAAGTATGCTTCCTTCGCCACCAGTTTCGGATAGGATCAACCAGGAGTTGTAAAATATTGGTATTTTAGTACTCCCTGCCCTCACGACGAGCACAGCGCCGTGGATCGAGCAGATCCGGCCGCGCCGGCCTAGCGTGCTTCACTTTCTGGCCGAGGCAAACATCGCCCGCGTGTGCGCATCCCGTGTCCTCTCCCGGGCTTTTACGACTCCCTGGCTAGAACGATAACTTGTAACAGTGCAAGAACAGGGGAGTAAATGGAATGATCCAGTCGAGCAAATGAACCCAATATGTCAACCAGGTCTGTGCAGTACCTAGCTGGTTTCTACCAAGCATGTGCACACATGCTAGTTCTCAACCTTGTAACTCAGCCTGATGACCTAGCTCTGGAGTAGGCATAGTCACAGTGTGCTATATCAGTGATACTAATGCTACATTGTAGGGGATTTTAAATAGACCTACAGCACATGATGTATTTTACTTACTGAGTGAATTGTCCGATCCGTGAAATCTTTTTCAAACGTTGGCTGAGTGGACTGACTGGAATACGTAGGTCGTTGAGAGAAGGAGAGCGTTATGCTGAACTTGTTATTCACTGAGAGAGCGCTATGCTGAACTTATTACTCACTGGGAGAGCGTTATGCTTAACTTGTTATTCACTGAGAGAGCGTTATGCTGAACTTGTTACTCACTGAGAGAGCGTTGTGGCCACTACAGACTGGATTATTAGTTGATAGAAAGAGTAAGAATGACTGGAAATGATAATGCACGACTAACAAAGGTAGGTAGGGACTGTTCAAGAATACTCCAGTAGAAGACGTTTCCAAGAACATGAGAAAACGGACGGAGACTCAGACGAAAACCAACAACTACTTTATAGTGGACTGTGGACGACTGTACTGAGCGGTGCCGATCCGATGTGCAGACGGATCCCGCTCGCGAGAAAAGACAGTGTCACATCATCATTGACTGTACAGTGCAGTGCAGAAAAAAGCACTTGAAATTTGACGAGGGGAAATTTCCCTTATTCATGCGTGCATGAGCAGATCTGTGCTCATGCATAGTAATAATTAAACTTGACTGCTTGGTGGTACATAATCATTATACAGCCTCATACTCAGCAGTGCGTGGCTGTTGCTCTTGCCATCACTGAATCATGTTATGTGGGAAGATGGACGGTGCTGCTATGATCAAGCGTGTGCGACAGGAAGTGGATGGTGATATTGCGAAGTGGGCTGACATGAGCCAGACGCGCAAGAACTTTGGGTCCAAATTGGATGCAGTCAAAGGAACCCACAAGGAGCTCAAGAATGCCAAATCAGCCAGCCACATAACCAAGTGTTTTATGTACATGTATGCTGTGAAGGCCAACCGAAATGAGCCTGACAAGATGCGAGCAGCTCTGCTGAATGTTCCGGATCACCTCTTCGGCAAGCACGACTGGTGCGCTGCCAAGAAGCTGGACCACGAGACGTTGTATTTTCTCGCCGGCCGAGCGCAGCGAGATAGGCGAGAAATGATTTCTCGCGAAATATTTTCAGTTGCAAATATGGCATCTGGCGTGTTCTTTATTGTCGCTTATTTTCCTGACTTCTTCAGTCAGTTTTCAGTCTCACCAGTGTCCCTGCCCTCCCACCCTTCATTTCTGTGCATATTATCTAGGGCTGAAACAATTATACCAAATACTCGAGTACTCGCTCGGTTTTTTCAAAAATAATCGTACTCGGAATAAATCAGAGTACTCGTTCATACTTGGTACATGCATTTACCACAGAAATCTGCAGTTTCAGAGCAGCAGTCAGCAGATATTGATGTGCAGACTGTGTGGTGAACATTTGTTCACGAGTAGAGAGAGCCCAAATGACCCACCAACCAATATACCCGAGAAAAATGACTACTACTCTGTTCGATCAGGGTTGTATCATGTGATTTTAAGCCCCTTGGTGTGCAATTTTTAGGAGATGAAGAATACTCGAATACTCGAATATTCGATCGGAGAAAATCAGAGTACTCGAACTCGGAATCTCAGTGCCAACTTTCAGCCCTAATATTATCATTGCTTTTCTATCACTTTTTGCCGTGATGTGCTTGCCATGCCTACATGATGCCTAATCGCCATTGGGGATATACACCCGGTTTTTTCCCTCACAACTGCGTCCGTCGGCGCGAGGGTTTTTCCCGGCTGGCTCGGTCTAGGAAAATTAATCTGACGGTCCTAAGTGGTTCTGCATCATTGTAATACGTAGCCGAGTGGAGGAGGCAAGAAAGAGAAGGCAACAAAGGAACTTACTCCGGTGCACACCTGGAGAACAACTCTTCTTCTCAGTTCTGTTGTTATTGCAGTTGCAGTTGCAGTTGTAATTGTGAAGAAATAAGAAAAGTACAGCAGCTTTTATAGGGCGAGAGAAGAGTAGAGGACATGCATGGGTGAAACGAGATCTACGTAAAAAGGGCATGGCTGGG